TTATCGCTCTAATTTTCTTTTGTACAAATGACATTACAGCGTTTATAATGCAGGGGCCAAAAAATAACATTAGTAATTTATAAAACCAGGGGGCCTGCAATTGCTGATTTTAGGGAAGTCGTCCACGGAGACCAGTTGAACAAACTTTTATAACATCCCTATTGTGCACAATAGTACTGGGGTGGGCCCCTAGGCCTCCCCCCACCCACCACATTGGGGAGGCCCAGTGTTAGGGCACATGTAAAACTGTATGGCATCTAAACAGGGGTTAATGGGTGTCAACTGGCATAAGGTTACATTAAATTGCACAGTCAACTGATGAGTTAGCCATTCACCGCTTTGTATAACCTTTTCCACTTCTCCTAATTCCGTTCGTTTAATTTCCCACCTATACTTTTCTGTCTTATGAGGTGACTTAGAAGCTCTTACAAAAACAGGTAACAATAGGAGTGACAATGAACTCATAGTCTTTTGAGTCTTAGCTTTAGTCCACGATCTGCAGGGTCCATTGGCAGCAGCTTCCATCTCTGGGGGGCGTCCTCGTCCTCGGCTCGTTTGATGTGACCTGCATGAATCCAGGCCCAGATGCCTTCTACTTTCATTGTCGTGGGGGTGGTCAGGATGACAGTAAAGGTCCCTTCCAGCGAGGCTCCAAGTTTCCCACTTGGTGGTGACATATTCCAAACCAAGTCCCTGGGTTGGTAAGGATGTGGTTCCAGCTCCGTCTCTGTCTCAGTGTGGGCCGTTCGGATCCCTGCGTGGGCTAGACAGACTGTAATGCCTGCAGTGACTGGAGTACAGACTGACCAATCATTTTTGCTAGGGCAACCTCTTGTAGCTGAGGGCAGAGTGGGTGGGGGTGTTTCCCAAACATTATTTCAAATGGGGGTCACCTTGTTTAAATAGGGTGTACATCACGCCATGAGGAGGGCGAAAGGAAGGAGAGCCACCCATCCACCACCAGCCTCCAGAATTAGCTTTGTCAAGGTCTCTTTAAGAGTCTAGTTCATTCTCTCTACTTGCCCAGAACTCTGGGGCCAGTAGGCACAATGTAGTTTTCAGTTAGTGCCCAGGGCCTTGGCCAATGCCTGTGAGACTGAACTCACAAATGCACGGCCATTGTCTGACCCGATCGCGAGAGGTAACCCAAACCTCTATTAGCTTTTGGCTACCACTCCTGCCATCTCATGTTTGGCAGAAAAAGCCTCTATCCAGCCTGAAAAGGTATCCCATAAAAACTAACATACACTTGTGTCTATATTTTCCCAGTTTCATCTCTGTAAAATCCATTTCCCAATAAATTCCGGGCTCCTTACCTCTTTCTCTTTTTTCTCTTCCCATCCTAGTTCTTCCCGCATTTACCACCTGACATTGAGCACATCTATCAAACACATCCTGAATCATACACCATAATTTAGAAACCCGAAACTGCTTGCCCATAAGCTCCTTAAGCTTGCATGTCCCCAAATGAGTGCCCTGATATATTTGGCTTATTAATTTCTTCCTAGTCTTAGCCCAGTCACCTTCATAGTCTAGTTTAAACCATTTTTGTAAATATTTTAAATCTTCCTCTGAAGTTTACCTCAAGTTGTCTAGCTTAGGCAAACAAACATTTAAAGACAACCAAATCTAGAACTTAACATCCATAAAGGCATGTTATTAAAACATAATTTTTCTCTCTAAAATAACCCTCATTTCCAGAGAAAGCCAAATCAGGACTAATTCACTTGAAAGACAAGTCCAGTTTTAACAAACTTAGCCTATTATTTACATAAGCTCAGCAAGAACAGTAAGTAATCATATAAATCTTTTAGAATCTGCTTTGCTGGAACTTTTTATAAGGAATCTCTAGGTTGAACTTTTAGTAGCCTCTCCGGGCCAGAAGCCAAGCCATGTACTTGCCATCAGACATGACTACAATACCAGTCGACTTGGGTGAATTCTTCTTTCTGAGGCTCTGCACCTACCAAGGAGTGACATTCTTTACTCACCTGGTGAGGCTGCTGGGAACTCTGTAAGCAAGGTATCAGGCCAACAGTTCCAAAGGGCTTTACGGCTCCAGGTTTCATAAAGTCAACCTTAGTTCCTTTAAGCTGTCTGGTCATATCTGAGTCTTCTTAAATATGACATTCCAGCCTTGGTAAAATAACCAGTTTCCACTAGTGTCCTGTTACAAGGAAAACAGATTCTTATTGAACTTATGCAAATGACTGATTGCCATGGAAGAAAGAATACTTACTGAGACCTTCTGATTTCAGAGGGTTCAGATAGAGAGAAAAATTGAATGCCTTGATTCGTTTGTGAATAAATATTTTTACCTCTCTGTAAGTTACAGATAACTTAAGAAAAAGTTTCCCTAGTCAGGAGGAGCAAACATTACAGAACCAGTAATGTTTAAAATAAGATGAAACATTAAGAGACACAACATTATAATCTTTCAGTTCATTTAGTCCCATGTTACTAATTCTGGTTTAGTCTGAATGCAGCTCTTACTTCTGTAAATTCTTACCCATTTCAGTGCCAGGATTTTAATATATCAAAGATCTGTAATTGTCCTGAAAGTTTCCCATATGAAGTTCTTTTAGGGCAGAATTCATCTTACAAGAGAATTAAAACAATTACAAATGACAAAAACTCAGAATAGATATGGTTAAATTACCAGGTGATGACCTTATCAAAACATCAAAACTTTAGGAAATGTATAGAATCTTTAGAGTAGTTATAGCATTTTCCCAAATATAACCCAAGGTTTATCATTGGTTTAAATCTTGTCAACAATTGCTAAAACCTTAGAAAGTTTTAAAACACATGCCTAAATATAATTAGGGATGTTAAACACCTGATAAAACAAAACATAGAAACTGGGTTTTCTGGGTAGGCAAAGAGAAAACCCTTTATATTTCAATTAACTGAAGAAAACTTTGCTCTTTTAAACAGAGAGAAAACCAGCTTTTCTATACCAGTGTTTTTTTCTTTTTTTTTTTTTTAAGCATGTAGTCTTAAGATATGAGTTATCTGGGTTTCCCTCCCATTGTGAATGACATCGCAAACAAAGGGAGGGGGAATCTTTCAGATGCTGTCCTGCTCGCGTCCCTCACGGGGACTTAGGAGCCTCTTAGCTAAGGTCTGTCTGTATAAACCCCGGACCAGGTTACTCCGTGGAGTAGATGACCGTTATGCCATATGACGCCCCATGAGACTCAGGGTGCAGCCCACTCAGACTCCGTAGCCGAAGCAGTGGAGCCATACAGACACATTCACACAGTCAGGCACTCTTCAGATTCAAACACGTTGGACATCCTCCCCTTTTTGGGTATCCCTGGCTAATGGGAGGTGATCAGTCTCCCTTTTCACTCTTTACAAATAAGAGTGAATTTTTATGGTTACAGGCAATGGGGGTCAGGGGGAGGTAACAGGATGTTTTTACAGTCTCTCAAGGTTGGGCTGCTTTCTTAATCTCTCAAGGCCAAATGGCCTTTTCACTTGGAAGTATAATCTATGTGCAGACAGGTCAGGAGAGTGCTAAATCACCTTGGAGGCTGTTTTCCTTTCTTTCTTATTTAGACAGGATCAGGCATCTGGTCTCCACCCCCCCCCCCTTTTTTTTCCCTTAGTCCGTCCTGACCATATCTAAAATTCTTTTTCTGAAGATTTCCCTTCACAAACCTTCTACAACTTTCCTTCGTATTCAGGTTTTGTCCCAAGCTATTTCCTTCCAAACCACCATCTCATTTAGGACAAAATTATCTTTTATCTTTAATAAAAAGCATTTCCATTCCTTAAATCTTCCTTACATATCATCTACTTTTCCACAGAGTTGCTTCCTTTATTTTCATCAGTCTTAGTTACACTTAGCAGAATTTTGTACTCTTAGAAACACCTTAATCAGTTATTAACTAATTGTGAACTGTTACAACAGAATTCTTCAGATGGCAAATTTATAAATCAGTTAAGCACAAAACATGTTTACCAACAGATTTCAAAAGCACAAACCTAGTTCCAGCAACCAGCGCTCTAGCATTTTATCCCATTTGGTTTAAAGTTTCAGGTTAGCAAAGACTTTGAAAGCTACTTCAGCAATTACCCATTAAACTGTGAGACAGACAATTAACCATCAGTTTAGTCATTTCTTTGCTAATAGATTTCAACAGATTTTAACAGAAATAACGAGAGCTTATTTGATCTTAAGTAAACTCTGAAGTTTCACATTTACTGCTGATAACTTAAAAGACATGTATCTTAATTAAACCAACAAACTTAACTTAGTTCAAATACTGATTTACGTTCCACCTGGGCCCACTCTACTTCGAATGTTTACCTGAGACACGGGTGGGAGGATCTGGAGTGGGGGGTGTTGGGTCCAGGGGCTGCTCTTCTTGCTCCTTGACAGTAAAGAGAGAAGGAGCCATGGTGCATGATCTAGAGGCTGGTCATGCAGGCTGCACGCATGTTGGTGCAGAAACAGGAGAAGGGGAGACATAGGAAACAAAGTGCCGCCAGGAGGCAGAGAAAGGATTCCCGGTTCTAGAGCTCATCAACTCCAACAGAGGAGCAGACGCCATGCTTTCCCACCAGCAAGGGGGAGGGGGCTATGCAGTCCACATCGGGCCAGAGAGGGCAAGGAACTTCCCCGAAACAAAGGAAGTTTCGGCAGCTGCTTGGGAATATTCCTTAAAGTCTCTGTCTCGAGTTAGACTAACCCCAGTTGGCTCCAGTTATAGCCATCAACACAAGAAATGAGTAAAGGAGAAGCCCCATATCTATGAGGAGGAACAGAGAGATGAAAATCAGAGTCCCCTTACTCTGCTTGCCCCATTCCTTCAAATACAACAAACAACCGACAACAAAAAGACAAGACAAAGACAACCGCAAACCCAGCGGCCCTCATCCAGAGCCTGCTGTGGGTGGGGGTTTTTCCGGCCCCTACAGGGGTTATCCAGCCCCCTACAGACGCTCGCCGGGACGAGCCACAGACCAGAACCAGACCCAGCGGCCCTCACCCGCTGGTGGGGGTTACCTGGCCCCCTACAACCAGACCCAGCGGCCTTTCTTCAACCAGATGTTAAGCCCAAAGATGTGCAAGATATAATCCCAGCTTAAAAAGGTAACCTACCACTGTAGGGAATTTTCTTGGTTCCCTATGAGCATCCGTTGACCCAGCAGGGAATTTTCTCGGTTCCCTATGTGCATCCGTAGACCCAGCCGGTTGCTGGGGATTTTCTTGGTCCCCTAGACATGCTCGCTGGTGGGGATTTTCTCGGTCCCCTGATTGCCTGGGAGGGCCCATACCCCCTGGCAATCCCCCCCCCCCCCCGAGGGATGAGGCGTCCCCGCATCCACTCCAGCCCTGGGAGCTATGCTGCGTCCAGCTTCTCCCCAGTGGTCTTTATTACCCTGGAGCTCCACAGACAGACAGACAAACAGATAGGATCTCAAGGGGTCTTGAGATCTTACCTCCGAGGCTTTCCGATGCTGGCTCAGTCCTCGCTGTTTTATCCCGGGACGAGTCCCCACTGAAAGGGTCCGTAGACAAAAGGACGAGACTGATACAAAGCTAAAGTTAAGCAGGGCTTTATTTCGCGCCAAGCATAGAGAATCAAACTGACCGGCCAGGGCCGTCTCTTGCAAAGAGGCAACCTCTCCCAGCCTCACAGACTAACTTTTATAGAGTAAAGGCCATGTGGTTGAGCCTGGCCACACACAGGTGACCAATTGAATTACAATCCACCCTATAGTAGTTATTTGAACTAGCCTATCACTCTGGTCAGAATTGGCGCCCAAGAGGCAGGGCCCACAATTTTTGGGTGGTTAGGGAGGTGCTTTCCTGATTAGATGTCTCCACCTGGTCGAACACGTCCTTGGCGGGTAGGGAGGTAATACGTGCGCTTTCACTGATTGGACGTTTCCACCTGGCCGGACACGTCCTTGTAGCTGGGCTCCGTTATTTTGCCCAGCCTGACATGTCCTGGTATCTGTGCTCCGTTATTGGGGCTATTTGGCCGTATTTCACCAGTTCTGTTTCTAGCGCTTTCCTTTTGGGGGGAAGGGGCAGGTTCAATCTAACTTTACTGCATAAACAACAAAATGGCTCACTCTGGCTAAGTAGGCCCTTACAAAAGAAGCTCTGCAAAGACCAAGTATGGCTTCCCTTCGCCCTCTACCCACCATCTTCCACAAGCTCCTGGTGCCACATTCCCTTGGTCACTCACATTCTCAGAGTTCAGACCAAATGCAGTGCCCCTGCTTTTCAGCCCCTCCCGGAGCTCCACGATGTCCACCAACCCATTCCCATAGGGGTCCAGGTTGTGGAAGAGGATCTCATAGCTGCTGTGGTCATCATCCTCCTGGCAGGTCACCGAGGGTAGCACGAAGCCCGGTAGCCAGTGCAACATGGCCCAGGCTGCCCAGCCCGCAGCAGCGTGGCAACACGCCCGCCTGCCCTCTGGGTCCCGGTGAGAGCGTCCAGCCCCCCAGCTGCGCCACCTGCCACCGCCTAGAGGAAGCCCGGGTTGCTCGAGGCTGCTGGCGCGCCATCACATGGCCCCGGCAACTGCCCAACGGAGCCTCCGGGCGAGCGAGGCACCCCTGGGAGAAACTCGGGAGGCCCGCCACGTGGGAAGCCGGGCCCAGGCCCCTCGCGAGACTCGGCCACCCCGGAAGTTGGAAGCTGAGCCACCAAACGCCGCGCCAACCTGCTTCCAGGAGCCTGTGGGGCTTACCCGAGGCAGGGCGATGTGCGTTCTCCAGGTGGCGTGGGAGGAGCATCCGGGTGTTTCCAGGGCAAACTGAGCGGCTGCAACAGGTGAGTTGCTCTGACCTGCGCCTCAGACAGGAGCATCCCGCACCCCGGTGCCATCTCTTCTTCCTGGGGGAGTGGGGGCGTCTGAAAAAGGCGCCTTCCAGTCTTCCCAGAGGGACCCCGCCCTCCGCTCTGGTCTCTCGCCTCCAGGCCCTCTCCGAGGGACCTTGGGGGCTGTTTCCAGGAGCCCCCCTCTTCTTCATCTCCCACTTTCTCCTAGACCCACTGCGGCCTCGCCACTGTCACCACTAGCCACCTTACAGAACTCCTTTGTCACAAAACCCAAAGGACACTTTAAAATCCTCGTCTTATTTAATGCTGGTCCTGTTTAGACACTGCTGACCACACCCTTTTCTTTTGTCTTTGGGGCTCCGGACGTGGCTGCCAGCCAGTCCTTAACTTCTTTATAAAGGAGCCTGAGACCTTCTAAAATTGAGGGTAGACAGGGTTAAGGGATTATGTAAAAATGTAGTTCTGTAATTTGTTGCAGTGGAATTTTGGTCTTCAATCTCTGGTCACATATTTTTAAAGTCAGAGGCACAGTCTAATGACAGACACAGACCAGTGTTTTAAAAAAATATATTTTCTTGGAAAATCCCAAGTCTTGGACCACAGAATTAAATTAGCTTATTTCTTAAAATAATGTTATTAGATATACTTTAAGATGTTATTTATTTCTTATAAATTTTGTACATTTTTTTGCTAAATGCTAGATAAATATATGAAGCAAAAATGGATAGACTGCAAAGAGAAATAAATAGATCTACAATTGGAGTGAGAGATGTCAATATCTTTCTCATAGCAATTGATAAAATAAGGAAACAAAGTAAGGGCATAAAGACTGACATGATCAACTAACTGATATTAATAGAACTGTGTACCTATCAACAGCAGAATACCTATTATTTTTACCTGTACATTTAAAGTTCGCTAACAAAGATCATATCCTGGGCCACAGAGCAAGTCAATAAACTTTAAATGACTGAAATCAGACAGACTATGTTCTCTGACCACAGGACAATTAAGTTGGAACTCAATCACAAAAAGATGGTGGGAAGTACCCAAATACTTGGAAATTAAACAATATGTATTTTAAATAACACATGAATCAAAGAAGAAATCACAGGGAAATTGGAAAATGTAGAATGCAGCTAAAATAGTGCCTAAAATTAACATCATAGCTTTAGATGTTTGTATCAGAAAAACTTTAAAATCCATGATCTAAGGTTTTACCTTAAGAAACTATAAAAAGAAGAGCAAATTAATCCCAAGTAAGTAAAAAGGATTTCAAGTAGGCTTGAAATCAAAGAAATAAAAGACAATAAAGAAAATTAGTAAAATGAAAAGCTATTTTCTCTGAAAAACTTACTTAAATTGATAAACCTGTAACTAGACCAATCAAGAAAAAAAGAAAACACAAACTACAAATATCAAGGAGACATCACTACAAATTCTATGCATATTAAAATAATAATGAGAGAACATTATGAACACCTTTATGTCAATAGATTTGACAACTTAGATAAAATGGAAACATTCCTTGAAAGACTATCAAAGCTGACAGAAGAATAAAAAGTAAATCTGAATAGCCATCTCTGTAAAGCTAACATGAATATTCATACTCAGTGTTGAAAGACTAAAGGTTTTATCCCACTAAGATGGGAAATAAGGCAGGAATGTCTCTTCTCACTCCTTCTATTCAGTATTGTACCTGATGTCCTAGCCAGTGCAATAAGATAAGAAAAAGGGAAAGGCATACATACTGGCAAGAGGCAAGTTCGACTTTATTTGTTCTTAGATGACATGATCATTTACATAGAAAATCCTAAGGAATCTACAAAAAAGCTACTTGAATTGATAAGTGAATTTAGCAAGGTTGCCAGAGGTAAGTTCAATATAAAAATTAATTTATTTCTACATACTACTAATAATTGTAAAATAAAATTTAATGCCATTTATAATAGCATCAAAAACTGAAATACCTAGTGATAATCATATATATGCAATATCTGACACTAAAAAGTGAAAATGTTAAAGGAAATTAAACTTAATAATTAGATATGTCATCTTCGTAGATTGGAACTTAATATTGTTAAGAGTCCATTCTCTCCGATTTGATCTAGAGATGTAATGTAATCCCAATCAAAGCCCTGGCAGATTTTTTCATACAAACTGACAAGCTGATTCTAAAATTTACATGGAGGGGTGCCTGGGTGTCTTAGTCAGTTAAACATTTAACTCTTGATTTTGGCTCAGGTCATGATCTCAGGGGTATAAGATTGAGCCCCAGGCTCCATGCCTAAGATTCTCTCTCCCTCTCTGTCTGCCCCTCACTGCTCTCACTCACATGCACATGCACTCTCGCTCCCTCTCTCTAAAAATAAACAAACAAATTAATTAATTAATTAATATGGAAATGCAAAAGATGTTGAGTAGCTAAAACCATTTTGAAAAATAGTAAGTTTCAGAGTCTAGATAAATAAACCTACACATATGTGATCAATTGGTTTTCAACAATAATGTCGGTATAATTCAGTGGGGAAAAGATAGGCTTTTCAACAAACGATGATGGAACAATAGGATATCCATAAGAAAAAAATGTGAAACTTTGTGTCTTGAAAAGACACTGTTGAGAAAATAGGCAGGAAGGGGTACCTGGATGGCTCAGTTGGTTAAGTGTCTGCTTTCAGTTCAGGTCATGATGTCTAGCTCCTGGGATTGAGCCCTGCATGCCCTTCCCCCCAGCCCTTGCTCAGTGGGGAGTCAGCTTTTCTTTCTCCCTCTGCCCCTCCCCCCTGCTCATTCTCTCTCTCTCTCTCTTTCTTTCAAACAAATAAATAAAATCTTTTTTTTTTTTTAAAGAAAAGGCAAGACAAAGTCTGAGAGAAAAATGTTTTAGTACCTATCTCTGACAAAGGACTTGTATCCACAGTTCTAAAGAACACTTAAAATGTCACAAAGACAACCCAATTTTTAAAAAATGAACAAAAGATCTGAACAGACATTTCACAAAAGAAAATATCTGAGTGACCAATAAGCCCATTTAAAGTTGCTCAAAATCTTTACTTGTTACAGAAATGTGCATTAAAACCATGACAAGAAACCACGGTATAACCTCGTGAATGGATAAAATTTAAAATACAAACAATGTCAGGTGATGCAGAGGGTATAGTACACTAAAACTAATATATTACTGATGTAGGAAGGTAGAGTATTATAATCAAAAAAAAGTTTAGTAGTTTCTCATAAATGTAGCACAAACCTGCATTCTATCTGTAGGTTTTTACTTTAAAGAAATGAAAATATGTATCCAAAAAAAGAACAATATTGTGGCAGCTTTATTTTTTAATAGCCAAAAACTAGGAGCAAGCATTCTTCAACAGGTAAGTGAATAACCAAATGATGGTATGTCCATGCAATGGAATAGTACTGAGCAATTAAAAGGAATGAAGTCCTGATGCACACAACATGGATAAAACTCAAAAAACATTATGGGAAAGAACAGAAGTCAGAATATGATAATAGTTACATAAATGTGTACTTTCATAAAAATTCATTACACTAAACACTTAAAATGAGTGTGTTTTATTAAATATAAATATGCCTCAACAAAACAATTTTTAAAGTTAAGCAACTAGATGGTACTATCTAAATATTGTGTAATATTTACCCATACATAAAGTATTCCTTTTGGGGGAAGGGGTTCTTTTTTTTATTTAAATTCAGTTAATTAACATATAGTGTGTTATTAGGTTCAGAGGTAGAGTTCAGTGATTCATCAGTTTTATATAACAGCCAGAGTTCATTACATCACATGCTCCCTTTAATGCCCATCACCCCATCCCTTCACTCCCCTCCCCTCCAGCAACACTCAGCTTGTTCCCTATGATTAAGAGATTGTTATGATTTGTCTCCCTCTCTGATTTTGTCTGATTTTTCCCAGGTTTGTTTCTTTATAACCAGGATCATGCTGTATGTATTGTTCTTTGATGTGCTTATTGGTGATGTTCTCAGCCTACCACACTCCTTTTATCCATTCCACAGAGTTAGTGTCACTATTTGGTTTGCTTCATTCTGCTGTTGTAATTATACCCACTTTTGTGCACAAACTTGAGCACAGTGTCTGGAATTTGAGGGGAAGGGTGTCAGTTTGAGCCCTTGCCTATCTGACGTGAGGACATGTTGACTTGACATTGAGCAGGTGACAGGCCATGCATGTTGACTCAGGCAGAAGGGCGGCTGGACTGTCAATTTGGGACCCACAGGCTGATAGCATTGTGTGTGTGAGGATGTGTCTGGTTTTGCTCCTGGTCATGAATTCCTTTAACTTTTGTTTGGGAAACTCTATCTCTCCTTCCATTCTGAATGAAAGCCTTGCTGGATAGAGTATTCTTAGCTGTAGATTTTCTCTTTTTTAGCACTTTGAATATATCATGGTACTCTCTTCTGGCCTGCAGAATTTCTTCTGAAAAACCCACTGATAGCCTTATGGGGCTTCCCTTGTATGTAATTATTTTCCATTTTCCTTCTGCTTTTAAAATTTTCTATCACTACTTTTGGCCATCTTATTTACTTTGTGTCTTGGTGTAGACC